ACTGCTGAAAGCATGTTTCAGTTTTCTGTAAGGACAACAATTCCTGAGTTTGTTTTTCACATAATGTCTTCATTTTCTTTGAAAACTAAAGTAAATGAGATAAATAATCAAATGTTCATGTCTTAAAAATGAACAAATTTAGCAATGAAAGACTCAGTGATGCAGGCAGGATGCCGTCAGAGGAGTTTCTATGTCTTCTATGTTTTTGGTCACTAAGTGTATTTCCACAGGATTGTTGAAGCCGCAATCAAGGAAAAGCATCAAAAAGGGCAATTAGTCTAGACAACACTTGAAGTGACAAAAAATATTGTTTCCAACATATACCTGTTAAATATCATGGGAGGAGAAATGTGTTGTCTCCACAATAAATATCCATAGTCCTCATTGTATTGTATGCTGCTGTAATAAGCAGCGCATGGGGGTATAGCTCAGTGGTAGAGCATTTGACTGCAGATCAAGAGGTCCCCAGTTCAATTCTGGGTGCCCCCTACAACATTTAAATATGTTACTAAGTTCCTAATAGAGCACTTTCAGTAACAAACATGCTGAATTATCTGTCTCTGTAGGTCCTCTGCCTTGAAGAGACAGACTACTTGTTGTTTCACTTGAAGGGTTTCATAAACTGGATCCAGCAGTGGTTCACATCAAATTCACCTGTATGTGAAAAGTTGAATTTTTACACCATCCGATGAATGACAAATGTAAAAGATGGATTAAATGTAATGGCATGAAGGTAATGGGGGTAATGGCATATACCCCCATGAAGCGCATGGGGGTATATCTCAGTGGTAAAGCATTTGACTGCACCTCAAGAGGTCCCCAGTTCAAATCTCTTTGTCCCTTATGTTTATTTCTTCCAATCCCAACTGAGCACCGTTAGTAACACACACGCTGATTAGGTGAAATCTCTGGTTCCACAGGCCTCCTAAAAAGATAGCGTGTAGTCCACACAGACGCATTCTGAACTGCTCTAAATTCCCATTTAAACACTTACATCTCCATCTACCAGGATTTCAAATCTGAAGACAGTCCAATTCAATTTACCACATATAAGCCCTAACACTGTTTAGGAATAAGCTATCCAAATTGTAGCTCACCATGAACAGCACTAAAAGCTTGACTGCAAATCTGAGTTTAAGATGAGATGTTGGCAAAATATACTGTTTTCATATACTGTTTTTGTGGAAAATCAAAAATTTTCTTTTAACAAGTCAACCACTATGGGTTTGACGTGGCACATATGACCTTATTCCAAAAATGCATTTAATGAAATAATTAAGTATTGGGGGTAGTGATTCTCATTGTTTTGGAAAACTTTGTGAAAGACTCAAATTAACTGTGAAAGAGTATTTTCCCCTTCCAGATTCCATTGGTTTTCCGTTTTTGTTTAACTTAATTGTTACAAATATTTGACGCTTTTCTAACTTTTATCAGTACAAATTATGAAAAAGAAAGTGTTTTGAAAGACATGTATAAGTTCCCCTCCAGTCTACAGTTTTGTGCTACTAAAAGCAAGCTTAATTTTGGTTTTGTTTGATCAGAGCCTGTGTTTTCACATTTACTGTCCCCTACATGGCTTGGTGTAATATGAAAATTATGCACTACTTTGTGTCGCTTAAAATCCCAACAATAGACCATGAAATTTCTGATTGTAATGTGACAAAATATGAAGAACTTCAAGGAGTATGAATACTGTTTTAGGGATTTGAAAACACAAACATGCAACAAATATAATGATCAGTTTTTAAAGATAATAAAATGAAGTGTTCCTTATATTTGTAGCATGAAGAAAATTACAATAATAAAGCCTGTTTCGTTTTTCCAACCTTTCAGTTTCTTTGATCAATGCTGTAAACAGATGAGAAAAATCTCATCAAATGTGCATTTAACAGAACAGATAAAGAGACAAAATGTTTGATGCTGGTAGAACATTTTTTGGTCAGTGGCTTGATTTCTATAAGACTCACCACAGCCTGTTTGTGTGAATTTGACAGAATGCTGTGGACTCTGACTTGGCCATGCCGGACGTCACTCATGTCAAACCACAGGTCCTGCGTTCGCTGGTCCTCAGGGCCAAAGCTTCGCCATGTGTAGTACTTGCTAGAGGCCTCCTTAAAGGCAGAAATAAGGTGGTTGTGAAGGACCTCAGGAACATGTTTAAATGTCATGCTGTTTTATGCATTTCCAAGCTTGTGTAGAGGAGTAAATATTTCTTTCCAAAAGAGGGCACTGTTTGACCTCAACTAAAACAAATACATCAGGTTACAAACCAAAGTACTATTACATGCCTTAAATATTTACTGTGAGAAGAAACAATGTGGGTTAGCACTCACCACTACATGTGTCATGTTGTTTGGCAATGTGTTGATAGTGAGTCCTCCACCCAGAACTGTCCTGCTTGTCCTGCCCGAAAAAGATCTTCGGTCTCTGTAGCCAGCAGTTAACTCTTCACGCTGCTGTGGGATTACACTGTAGGAGCCATCTGGTAGGAATAGTGTGAATTAGTTCTTTTTTGTCAGAAAAATGCATTTTGAATTATAAGGAGCATTTCAACAAAAGAAACAAATGCATATGCCAGTTTTACTGCAGCTCTAAAATCAGATGTTTACAATGCTGTGGTTTTGTGCTCAGACAGTGAGTCTTTTGAGAAATTAAAACGTTCCTTTGAATTTGTCTGCCTTGGCTTTGTCAGTAAAAGCGATTTGTTGAAACCATACAACAATATTTTTCTTCTGCTTTGAATGAGTTGTCAAACCCCACAGTCAGAGCTGACCATATCTGGTAAGCAAACTGGGGTAGGTAGGCTTTGTTTTAAACTTTTGGGTGTTTTAATTGACAACTTGCCCCTCTTTCAAGCCACTCAAGCCTGGCTCATGTTAAAAGTTTATTTCTGCACTGTGCTCTGTTTTTACTTGCCGTGTGGAAAATTCATGTTCTGCTGGTATATTTATCCTCATTATTTGATTTTGATGTGTAGACATTTTTGTCCTTGCACAACCTCAACTTTATGCAGCTGTATAAAAAAAGCCTTTACGGTGGTGCAAAGTGGTAATTTTGACAATGATTATATACAAGCACCACTGGAAAGGCTTATCAGGGGCTTTCTCAGTGGGGATAATAAAAATTTGTGAAAATTGAAAATATGGTCAGGGTGAAAAGAATTTATGTGGATTGTGGTTTTTGATTCTTATATATTAGGACAACAATAAAAATTATCTTGGGTTTACTTACTGCTAAAGTTATTTAAATCACACCACAAGTGTGCAAAGAACACAACAGATTCCAGAAGGACCTTATTTTATAATTTTATGTTATTTTTTTTTATTTTTTATGTGTCCTGTCTGGCAGAGTAGCACTCAGAATTGCTGTCTGAGTGCCAAAAAGAAGCCCAACAGATTTACTTTCACAAGTTACGGCTAACGCTATAAATGCTCCAGTTGATATATATGAAAAAGACTTTATTAGAAACTGCTTTGGGGTCATTTCAATTGCAATGAACATCGAGACAGAAACAAAAAAAGAAGCAAGAAAGATAGAGGTGGGGCGAAAAGGAAAAAGGGAGAGAAAGAGAAAAGAATAGAGGACAGGAAGAAGGGTGAAGAGCATACAAGATACGGGAAGATTGCGTCTACACCTACAGAAACATATAAAACAACAACAATTTTACCGAAAAGTGCACGGTACTAATGCATGCAAGATGTATTTAGTGGTAAATGCGGCTCAATATATTACATCTGTGTATCTGTTAACACCTGAATCTAAACACCTGTGGGTGTAACTGTGAGCGCGCTTGTGTATATAAGGTTTCTCCATAAAAATATGCAATAGCGAGTGTGACACAGAGGAGATCTGAGCCACAGACATCCAAAAGCCCACCAAAGCATGGGAACCCTGGGGGGACCACTGCTGGGGCTACCACAACCCCCCCAGAGAAGAACACAAGACAGCCCCAGAGGAACCACCCAGCAGCCACAGTGCAGAAGCCCCAGGAAGCTGCAGTGATGAGCCCCCAGCCCGTGCCGGGAGCTGTCTACAGCGGAGCAGATCCAGCCATGCACTCAGAGACCCAAGACCCCGGGACACATCACCCAACAAGCAGAGGCTCCACAGAGCCAGGGGGCCCAGGCCCAGGCCCCGGCAAGCTGCCACCGGGAGCGGGACGGCACACACCGAAGCACCCAGTCCCGGACACCGAAGACCACCAATACACCAGCAGGCAGAGACACCAGTCACCGGTGGGGAGGAAATAGGCACCACATCTGATGGGGGGCCTTAGCTGATCCAAGAGAGGGAGCAGCCCAAGACCCAACCTGACACAAAAACAGGCACACATTCCCACTCTCAGGCGTACACATAAAAACACACACACCCACACACCAAACGTAAACAATGGACGTCATACACTCACTCACACTCCCCATACATACTCTATACTCCCAGGTCCAGGTACCGATACCCCGGATGGGCAACCAGCCCCCAGACCCAGGAAGTGGTCCCCTTCATTCCGGGAGGACCTTATTTTTAAATAAATAAAAACCTTTAGCAGCAATAATTTAACATAATCGCTTTCTATATGACTTTATCAATCTCTCAGTTTGTTGCGGACCCAATCATCATTTTTCCACAACTCTGTTGATGTTCCTGTGTGGGCCAAGCTTCAGCTGTTGGACAGATGATCTTACACTTGACTCAGTCAAAATACTTTGGTATACAGAAGAGTTCATCCTTGATCAATGGCTACAATATCTCCAGGATCTGTGGCGGCAAAATAACCCCAAATCATCACTTGTCCACCTCCATGCTTGACAGTTTGTATGAGATGTTTGTGCTTATGTGAACAATTTTTTCTCCAAAATATCTGCTTTGGTCTCATTTGTCCAAAAGATTTGGTTCCAGAAGTCTGGTGTTTCATTTTTGTGCAACTTTGCAAACATGAACACACATTTTCAAAAAGAAGAGGCTTTTTCCTAACAACCTTTCAAAACAATAAATTCTTGTTTAGTCTTTTTTGACAGTCATAAAATGTAATTTCTAACATGCTAACTGAGGCCTTCAGACCATTTAGGAAGGAGATTAAGACTCACAAACAGTGGAACTGAAAACGCAGCAGTTGCTAAGGTTAGTCAGTAATATTTATGTAATTCAAATTTTTTAAATTTCATTAATAAAACTGATCAGTTCCATATCTATCAAAAATTAATTCTGATGGGTAAATTATTTTACTTAATCAATGAGCTCCGATTTGATACTTGACATTAATATACAATAATTGTGGCCTTTGTCAGAACACACTTTCTTAGAAAACAACACTAATAAAATCCAAGCCACATGAGCCTCTACCTGCTAAACTGGATGTTTCACATGATGAAGCTAAAGTGCTGATCATTTGAAAGAACTGAACAAACTCAAGTGATGGAAGGAGCAACACAAGGTAATCACAGTCATCCGATTATGGGACAACTTAACAACATTTACAGGACATCAATATGAACACGGACGCTGATATTGATTCTAACTTCCTTAACTATTTAAACAAAACATTGTTTTGCCTCACAGAGAAGTATTTACTGTTCAGTTATTCACTTTAACAGTAAGAGTTTATATTTAAAAAACACCTAAACATCCAAGAATACTTAAATCAGTTGACAAAAAAAAAAACAATATCATTGCAATATCAAGAACCTGGCTCCAAACTTAGAAACAGTTATGTTCGTTTTTTTTTTTTGCCTTACGGAACGCCGTAGTGACGTCATTCAACGGCCTATATAAATCCAAGGCGGCGCTGAATTTCCGCGGGGTGTCTCGTCTAACCCTAAGTGAGGGTCTCTTCCTGTACTCCACAT